GAAGAGGCCTGGAAATCAGAGAGGTGATTACAGCTAAAGGACTGAACAAAGGGGGTTTAGATAAGGCCTGTATTGTCACTGGAGCAAACAGGGAAAAGTAAGCAAAGGGGTACTCTTGTCAATTTGATCATCTCTGATTGTAAACCTCAGAGATGACATCAGGTCTCTGGTGCATAGCAGACCCAGAGAAGCCCTCCATGTGGAACACATTAATGACATATAAATACCTAAGACCACTTTTTTCATCTATTCGCTTAGACAATGAATTCGCTTTGTAAGAACCTTGTGATAAAATTTTACAAAACTAGGATAACATGATGGTGAATAAGTAAATAATGTGTAGCACAAGATAAAGTTTGAATAGACATTCAAGTGGTTGAAGATGTTCGTGTGTAGTTGGCAAGGACGCTTGTAAGAGAAAATGAGGGGTAGAAATGCTTGGCCTCTGCTATGGGACTCATATTCTGCTGAAGGTGAGAAATTCCATTGCCAGAATGGAAGAAATAAAAGGAAAACTGAAACCTCTCTGAGACCTGAGTCAAGAAAGGCACAGTGCTCTATAGAAACAATTCACGAATATCTAATACTGGAGGACTCTGTCTTCAGAGTCTTGAATCTACACGAAATTGTCTTCTTAAAGTCTTTGGCTTAGAAATAGGAATGCTGGTTACAGTTTATGAAATAATGACTCAGTAATAAAAGATAGAATAAACATTCATTCCTCTACTTTGTTATTCTGCCATGTGCCAGGTACTGTGCTAGGCACTGGGACTGGGGCATAGAAAAATAAAGGATGCAAAGGCCTTGAGGTGCATACATGCTAGTGGTAGAGAGAGGTGTGTTATCTACTGCTTACTATGCCGTGACACTTCACCAACTCCTGATACATAGACTTAGTACTTTCTAACAATTAGATCTGTCTAAAGAAGCTTAATAGAGTTTGAGGGCAAAAGAAAATGTGACATATAGTAAACAAATAGGGTTAGTTTTTTTTTAATTTAAATAAATTATTATGTAAATTTATTTAAAAAATTTATTTTGGTGAAAGTATACACAGCCAAAGGTACACCATTTCAACAACTTCTACATGTACAATTCAATGACATTAATTACATTCTTCAAGTTGTGCTACTATTCTTGCTATCCTTTTCCACATTATTCCACCACAGTCATCTTAAATTGTCCCCTTAAGCTTCCTATCCAAACTTCCGAGTTGCAACCAACAGCTCATGGGATTTGTTTTCTTGGAGGTTCAGGGTCATGGTTTCAAGGGACACCCCAATCAATTTAGTCTAATTTGTTTCTCAGTACCTCTGTACTACCTCCTAGTTTGTGCATAGTGACTGGGGTTAAAAGCTAGCAAACAGCCATCCAAGGTACAACAGTTGGTCTCCATTCACCAGAAGCAACAGAGGAAGGAGGGTCAGGAATTGAAGGAGGAAATCAAATATGTGTCTGGTTGCCTCCATGAACAACTGCTTCCTTTGCCATGAGACCAGAACTAGATGGTGCCCAGCTACTATTACTGAACGTTTTAATCAAAGATTCTATAGAAGAATCCTGATCAAAAAGGGGAAAAACATGGAACAGAATTCCAAATTCTCAATGGACTCCAGACTTTCTGGAGCCATTGAGGCTGGATGAGCCCTCAGAACTGGTGTCCGGAGATAATATTTAAACTTTAAACCAAAACTAATCCCTGAAGACTTCTTTGAACCAAAAAAATAGCTTATTTTAATTAGTAAAGTACGTCTGCTTTGAGCATTGTACTCCTTCAAAGAATGTGGTTAGTTTTTCTAAAAAGAGATACATTCTGAATATATAAATAGATTCAGTAAAGGGTCTAGGATAAATCTCTGTGAGATGAATCCACAGTGGATTAGAAAGGTGAAGTGAAGAATGTGTGGTCTTAGCCATTATTTTTTGGTAGTCATGCCCCCAAACCCTGCCCAACAAAAATGACCCTTGTTATGATAGACTACTGGACTGGATGGACCATGAGTGTGCTCATATGTGGCATGTCATACATTATGTTCTTAACAGCTAAGGGAGGTCACCCTGGTGATGATATGACAAGTGGACTTCTTGTGGGAAATGTCTGGCACTCTCACCATTCACCCATTTGTAATGGCACCAGAGGGTGAAAGTTACATCAGAAACTTCAGCCTAATGTCAGAAAGAACTTTCTAACACATCTGTCAAAAAACACCAACAGAGGCTGGGTATCTATTCAGTAGTCTATCATAGGAGGTAGAAGTAGAAGGCACCCAAGATCTTCCCCTACTTTTAAATTTATAATCCTATAATTCAGTCTTTTAGTTGCATTTTAGATTTGGGTTAAATGATTACTGTCTGTTTGCTGCTTAAGAATTGGCTGATTAAATAAAATTGTTAACATCTTTGCTACAGCCGTTTTGCCTGTTATAAGAATGAAACCAAATAACAGTTTATATTTTTCCAATAAATGTAATACTGGCATGCATATCACTGTATTACTTCTACTTTAGTCTTCCAGAACTTTATTATGAAATGAGAAGGGACTGTTCTTTGTCCTTGAGCTAATATTTTGTCCTCATCATTGGTACATGTTTCTGGGAAAAATGGAAGAGGATGTTGAACATTAAAGATCCTGCCGTTTGCAGTGAGCCTCTTGTGCCATTAAAGGGAATCTTAAGATAGTCTGGTGGGCAGCCAACATTCCAAAACAAAGCAGCCAGATCTAAGCCTGGCATATCTATTTCTTATATCCACCAAGGCTCAGCATGGCTTTATCTGCCTATCCCCTTATTATTCTGAACTCTCTAATTGCCTGGGCCCATTCTCTCCGCAAATAGTTTCAGTTACTGTATTCACAATTAATGTAGGGTGACTATGTGGAGATGTCTTCTATTCCTACTTCTAACAGATTAACAGCTAATAAACACCATGCAACACCCTCTCCTCTGAACCTCTTCTTGAAATACAGAGTTTGGTTTGCCAGCATTGGTGTATTTAAAGCCTCCAAGATTCCAGGGAAGACTTTAGAAAGTTAACTGTGCAAGTAAGGCATGTTCAGAGGGACTTTTTCCAATACAAAGAGCCAATCAGTGTATCCGCAGCTTGTTGGAGAAGAACCTCAGGGAATCCTATTGTTGTTTATAAGGAAGGGATACTTGTTCTCACTTAAAATGAAATAACTTCTCACTTTATTCTTGGTATGCAGGACTGAAGAGAACTCTGGAAATGTATTACCTAGGGAGAAGGATAAGCAGCATAAGTTTCATCTCAAAAGGAAAAGCTTGTTTTTTCCAGGAAAGGATACCATGGTACCTTCCAGTGACTTTGCACTGAAAGGATTTATGCCACCTGCTCTTCTCTCCTCTCCTTCTCCTACTTGCCCTATAGTCTCTGCACCTTCCCTCCCTACACTTATACAGAAGTTAAGCAGTTAGTTTTAAAGAAAAGTCAATAATCAGAAGCTGTGTTCAAAGCTTGAAACAAAACCCAACCAATACTTGGTTTTAAGGATATGAAATAGCAGCAAGAATATATCTGAAATAACCCCGAGAGTATGGCCCCCAGACACCCTTTTAGCTCAGTGGTGAAGTCATTTCCGAGGTTCACCGTTCAGCCGGGGAGTGGACAGCCCCATAAAACCAAATGGGACTAATGAGGCACAGCAGTCCAGGGACAAGGGCCAGAAGGCAGAAGGGGACAGGAAAGCTGGTGATAGGGAACCCAAGGTTGAGTAAGGATAGTGTTGATGTGTTGTGAGGTTGTTAACCATTGTCATAGGGCAACATGTGTACTAACTGTTAAATGAGAAACTATTTTGTTCTGTAATCCTTCATCTAAAATGAGAATAGCAGCACAATTGGAAGAGCGTAGTCGATGTCACTGACTGTGCCTGTAGAAATTTGTGAAATTGTGTATCTTTGGCTATGTATGTTTTCACCAAAAAAAAAAAAAAAAAAAAAAAAGGTCAAGAAGGGAGAGGGTTAACATGTTGTGGGGTCGTTAACCAATGCCATAAAACAATATGTGTACTACTGTTTCATGAGAAACTATTTGTTCTGTAAGCCTTCACCTGAAGTACAATTAAAAAATATATATATATATATCTGAAATACCTGAATAATTAGGTTAAGATGATGTCTATCAGCATTTTATATATATGGAAGAGAGAGAATTAATTGAAGGGTAAAGTAGACACTGGGCATATAGTCTGATTAGTGGAATTTCCAACATCCAGGAACCAGAAACCTGATAGGAATTTACTTGTAAAATATTTAACATTTCTTGAAATCTGATAGTCCTAAGAATAGGACCCTCAAAGACCACCTTGATTCCTAGATTACAAAAATGCAGATAAATATTTGGAGAAATATATTAGTCTTTTAGCCTGAGGCAAAATTTCTAGGACTGAGCACTTTCTTTGCCTTTGGTAGATGTTTCTTATTGTAGCAGAAACTCAAATGTGTTTCATAACTTGCCTCTCCTTTTATTTATGTTGCCCTGCTTGTCTCTGTTGATTTAAGAAGCCTTTAAAGTCACAGCAGCTTGACAGTTTCATTGACTCTTTACATAGTTGAGGCGTGGGGCTGACTCTGGGACCAGCTGTGTCAGTGTATTGTAGTAATGATGATGACATTTTCCTGCATCAGAGAAACAGTCAATGCTATTCTCTGATAACTGTACTTATTATATTAATGGTTGTGACCTTTGACACTTAGCATGCTTTTTCATGTCAACCATACCTCCTTTGAAGAAAGATCAGAGTGAAATTCCATCATAGTTATAGATTTGCTTGAATATAATCCGAATTGGGTTAATTTGTTTTTCCTCCTGCAATCCAGTATCACCTGATCATTGTGCTTTTCTGGACTTATTCACCCTGGTGGTGGTATCTCTTGATGTCAATTCATGTACCACTTGTCAGACAATTCAGCTCAGTATCTTTAAAAGTCAGGGCATTTCTTGGGATGATTTACAACTTCCTTCTCTGGCTTTTCTCTCTACAGAACTGGACTGGAAGCCATCATGGAGACTTATGCGTTTTGGAGACCCCCTGTGCGCACACTCACCTTTGAGGATTTCACCACCATGCAAAAGCAGCAAGGTAAACCCCTGGAATAACGTCTCTGCTTAGTGACAGGGCTAGGGAGGGAGTGGGAGTGGAACTGAACATAGCTTATCTGGCCCCAAGCCAAGTCATGAGTTACATGGACTCTCCTAAAACAAGAGAACTTGGTACCTCCATAAATAACTAAAGCATCACCACTTGGGCAAACAGACCAGTTCCGGAGGCAGCATTTCACGTGGCAATATTTTCCTTCCTAAAAGCAAGGATATATGTTTATGATTATGATAGGGATGAAACAATTATTACTATCACTAAGAATTTATATAGCCCTTACTCTTGAAGTAATCTTCGTAATAATAACTTCATTTATTCCTCATGGCAGCCTTATCAGTTTGGTATCTTTGTTTTGTAGATGAGAAAAAACTTAGCTCCAGACAGTGGGAATAAATTGCTCCAGGTCTCCCAGTGAGGAGGGAGTCATTGCAGACCCATCTGAATCCTGCAACTTGTGCTCTCTCCTTTTTTTGCTTTATCTGAAACAACACTCCTCTCAGCTTGGTGGGCTAGGTGGACTTCCTCCCCAACCCCCAGTTCTTCATGCTATTCATCCAATTTATAATCTCCCTTCTATTGTAGTTCAGATTAGGAAACAGGTGGCCATGAGTATGAGATAATTTGTGGGCTGATTTCAACTCCTTTCAATTCATTCAGTAGCTCTTCCAGGTACAGCATCTGTCTACCTGGGTACTTGGGTGATAGCTTCCCAAAGTGTCAGACTCTTCATAAGTCTCTGTCTCCAAGATCCTTGTTCCCCAAAAAGGACATTGATCAAAATTATAGACTGAGCTGTTCTGTTCCATCAAATGGCCACCAGTAAGAGAAAACTAACTTTTGATTTTTTGGCTCTCCCTTTTGGGAGGCTGTTCTAGGACTTAATAATTTATGATATTGTATTCGCTTCTTTGGGAGCTTTTAGTACTTTGAACACTAAATTAAGGTTGAAACCTAAATTAGTGAACTCTCTTAGGTTTTAAGGTGAGTATAGTGATTAAGAGCATAGGATCTGGGGTCAGACAACCTTGGTTACACTCTTAGCACTGTCCCTTCCTAACTTTGTGAATTTGGTCAACTCCCTCAACCTTTCCAACATTCAGTTTTTTAATCTGTGAAATGGGAGAATATAATAGAGTTATTGTGAGGATTAAGTGAGATAATGCACGTAGAAACAGTAAGCACTCAGCACACACTAGTTGTCCTCCTCCTCATCTTTATCTCCAGTATACCCCTGTACATGGAAGCCTAAGAGGAAGATGTAGTGGTAATGGTGGTGATGGGGAGACAGAAGATATTGCCTTTCTGATAATTAAATATCAAACCATAATTAGATAATTAATCTTCATCTAGTGAGGTAAGTGACCCAGAATTTCCATCTCTGTTTTATTGCTGGAGGAGAAATGGAAGCCCTTTATATAAAATGACTTGACTCTCATAAAGCCGTGATAGAAGCAGGATCAGGAAATATTCAGGTGTCAACTACTGCTTTGAGGCTCTCATGGCTCTGAAGAGGCAGAGGTATTGAAGAGAGCTGAAGGCTGGGGGTTGAGAAATCTGGGCCCCATGTTTGATGGCTGCTAATTCTCTGTGTGACCTTGGGCAAGTTACTTCCACTCTGAGCCCCAGTTTCCTCACCTACAATAGAGGGATAATCTTTTTGTAAGGCAATTCATATAAACATGCTTTATAAATGAAAACATGTCATGTGAAGGTGTGCTTACTTGATTCTATTTATTTGGGAGGCAGGTTCTTTGCTTATCTGTGCTGTTTATTTGTTGACTACCCAAGATCTAGCTAAGAAGGAGTCTGTATCATGGAGGTTGGTATGAGAAGGTTGGCAGGGATATTGCCAGATCCTGAGAGCAGGGATTGATGGTGATGATTGCGTTCACTGCTGTATTCCCCAAGGCCTACCACAGGGTCCAGCACCCAGGAAGCACGTAATGAATGATGAGTGAAGATCGCTTGGTGACACTGTGACTCAAGTAGGCAGGGTCACTGTCTGACTCCATCTTGAAGTACAACCACCCAATATGAACGTGTATATGGATATGGAGTGCTCACTGGGGATGACAACCTGCATTTCACCAGTATATGGGTCTGTTGGAGCAGGCACGGGCATGGGAACTTCCATGAGTTGTTCAGGTGTGCAGCATAGAAGGTTTCATGGTGCTTCTGCTGAAAATTTATCACTATAGAAGGTTTATTATTGACACTTTGAAAGTGCTAGTTTAAGAAAAACTGAACTTTGGAAACATGACATCACCATCACTTCAGTGCTTGCTCCCTTTATTGGGGTGGGGCACAAGCTTGGAATTATTGGATATGGTGGTGGGATGGAGCTGGACGAAAAGCTGGGACTCTATTAAATAGTTTAATTGGAATATATTTTTGAACTATAAACTGAACTTGATCCAGAGTCTCATTTTTAAAAAATACGCAGCTTGGTTTCTTGACATTAACAAAGAACGTAAAAGCTACTACACTCATTCCGTCTTTTCTTAAGAACTAAGAGCTCCAGTAACTCTGGACAGCATCACTCATAAAACAAAGAGAAGAGAAACAGCCATTTTTGGTAAATTGTTTTGTATCTTAGAAGAAGTAGAGAGAGGTGAACTTGTAGTGGAAACTTTGGTGGCAGACTGATTATGCACTAATTCTTTTTTCGTGAGGGAGGCATTGGCAGTGTTGACACAGAATCCAGCATCCAGATAATGGCTGACTCAGCCAGGTGTCCATATTGCCTCACTACCTCAAATACATGAATATCTGGCATGTTAAATACTCAGTTCATGGACAGTTTCATGCTGCTGCTGATGGAGGCTGGGTCAACCTTTCTGCTTGGATGAGGTTATGTATGCCTTTTTCATACTGCTCTTGCTATCATTTTTCTTTTTCATTAAGACCCATATGCTGATAACATTTCAAGGAAAGTGCTTACGTGAATTAGTCACAGTCTTGCAGTAACCCAAATCTTTCTATTTTATTTTATTATTTTTTATTGTACTTCAGGTGAAGGCTTACAGAACAAATAGTTTCTCATGAAACAGAAGTACAC